CCCAGCAGGGATCCCAGGGAAAAAGGGACACAGCAGGTGGGAACTCCCAGCAGGATCCACCAGCAGGATCCACCGGCAGGATCCATGAGCTGGCAGGATCCACCAGCAGGATCCACCAGCAGGATCCATTGGCAGGATCCACGAACTGGCAGGATCCACCGGCAGGATCCACCAGCAGGACCCATGAGCTGGCAGGATCCACCAGCAGGATCCACGAGCTGGCAGGATCCACCAGCAGGATCCACCAGCAGGCAGGATCCACCAGCAGGATCCTCCGTGCTGTCCCCACTCCTGGACACACACGACCTGTGACCCCAGCACACACGTGCTGTGACCTGAGCACACATGAGCTGTGACCTGAGCACACATGACCCACGTGTGCTGTGCCTCCCTGCTGTCCCCGTGGGCAGCCCAGGCACACACACAGCACTGGCAGCACCAAGTCTCCCTTCATTAGTTCCAATTAGCACTGGTGCTCAAATGCAGCCCCTGGCTCTGGTTCCACCTCAGCCTGGCCCAGGGGATCCCAGTGCTGAGCATTCCCAGGGACTGGCACATCCTGATCCCTCTTCCTGAAGGGCCAGGGCTGAGGCTGAGATTGGCTCCACCTGCACTGGGCTCCTCTCTGAGAAGGGTCTGAGAGCCAGAGGGTCCTCTCTGACCCTCCCCAGGTTGTCCCACCAGGCTGGTGACACCATGGTGTGGACCTGGTGTCCTGGTCACACTGAGCTGTGCCTCAACCCCACCAACACCAACACTGGGCCTGTCCTCATCATGGGGACAGGGACAGGCTGCCCAGGGCAGGGGGGGAGTCCCCATCCCTGGGGGGGTTTCCAAGCCCTGGAGATGGTGCTGAGGGACACGGGGCAGGGGTGGCCTTGGCAGGGCTGGGGGAACGGTTGGACTGGGTGATCTCAGAGGTCTTGTCCAACCAAATCCAACCTGTGATTGCACAACTCTAGGATGGACACCCCACTGGAGGGTCCCCCCTTGGCCCCAGCTCCACTCACCTGCATTTTGAGAGAAGAGGCAGCAATGGTTGAAGGGGGGAACGCGAGATCTGCCACCTCCAGCTCCGGGTCCAAGACCTGCAGGGAAAAGGCACAAAGCTCAGGGGGGATCCTGCTCCCAGCTGGGAAAGCCAAGCAGCACCCCAGGGACCCCATGGGAGGGCTCTGAGGGGCTTGGAAAGAATCCTACAGGGTTGGAACCACCTGGAATTGGAAAACACTTGGTCAGGGAAACCTCAGTCCTGGTGAAGCCCCTGGTCCAAAGTGAGGACCCTGGGGACAGCTGGGTGGGGAGGGGGCAGCCTGCTTGGGGGGCTGACCCCACGGGGGGCTGGGAGCAGGAGCTGGGGCAGGGCTGCCCTGGAAATGCTCCCCAGGAACACACCAGGAGCCAGGAAAACTCCAGCAGCTGCTTCCTGCCCGTGGGCTGGGATCCAGCTGCCTGATTCCCAGAAACCTTTGGCAAGGAGAAACCCCCCTCCCAGCACTGCCACGCACCAGGGGACATCAGGGTGGGGACAGGTCTGCTGGGACATGGACAGCAGGACCCCCAGACAGGGAGCTCTGCTCTGGGAGGAGTCCCTGTCGCCCCGGTCCCAGCTCCCCTTGGAAAGGGGTGTCAGTCCCCAGGGCTGGGGGCAGGGCTGCAGCACTCACCATGGAAAGGGCTTCCCGGGTCTGCTGGAGCAGGGGCTCAGGGAGCAGGGAGATGTGGACACACTCGGGGACGTTCACTGTCCCGCCGTCCAGGTCTGCGATGACAACATCCAGCTGGAAGCAGCAGGAGAGGGGTCAGGCAGGCCTGGGCTCCCCAGCACCCTCCCCCACCACCCCAGGGGGGAGCCCAGCTCTGGAGAAGGGCCTGGGAGCCCCCAGACCCCTCCACCTCCTGCCAGCCCCCAGCCCTGCTGGCCGGTCCCTCCCCAGCGCTGTCACCAGACCCTGCACACACAGGCTGGGATGGGATCCCATCGTGTCACCAAGGTGGCAGGGGAGGACAACCTGGCTTTGCCCAGCAGGGACCTGCTGTGACTTGGTGCCATCAGCCCCTCAGTGGGTGGGGGGACAAACACTGACCCCAGCCCCCCCAAAGGCTCCTTCCAGCCCAGGCTCATGGAGCTTCCACTGGCAAATTCCTGAGGGAGCTGAGCCTGGGAGCCCAGGGGCTCAGCCTGCTGCCCCAGGGACCCTGGGGACATTGTTTGCTGCCACCTGAAACTGCTGCCACCACCTCCCCCCAGCTTCCTCCCTGGGCCTGTCTGCTCCTGGTGCCAGGGAGGGGGACATGGGGTCTCACCAGCTCCTGTGTCTCCGACTGGAAGATGGAGTGGACACCAATGATGAAGGGTGTGGGGGTGCTCAGGACCTCCAGGAGCTGTGCAGGCAAGATGGGCACGTAGGTGAAGCTGCAACCAAAAGGAGAGCATGGCTGAAGCCAGGGGAGCCTGCTGCCCTCCCAGGAGATGATCCCTCCTCTGGTGGTGGGGGGTGACAGTCCCCAGGATGGCAGTTTTCTCCTGGCACTCTCAGGCAGGGTGTGCCCATCAGCTGCCCAGGGCTTCTGAGGGCTCCTGGACACTGACCATGATCACACTGTCTGGAGAAGGGAGAAGGCTCCAGGGAGACCTGAGAGCAGCTTCCAGTGCCTGAAGGGGCTCCAGGAAAGCTGGGGAGGGGCTTGGGACAAGGGCAGGGAGGGATGGGAGCAGGGGGAAGGGTTTCCAGCTGGCAGAGGGAGCTGGAGCTGAGATGGGAGGGAGAAATTCTGGGCTGTGAGGGTGGGGAGAGCCTGGCCCAGGTTGCCCAGGGAAGCTGTGGCTGCCCCATCCCTGGGGGTGTTGAAGGGCAGGTTGGATGGGGCTTGGAGCAGCCTGGGCTGCTGGGAGGTGTCCCTGCCCATGGCAGATGGGACTGGATGGGCTTTGAGGTCCCTTCCAACCCAAATCAGTACATGGTTCCATGAATGCTTCACTCCCTGCTTCCCCTGGTGTTGCCCTGGAGCAGTGGGAGCCAGGGTAGGAGGTTCTCACCCCTTCCCTGCTCTGGGCACACTCTGGATTTCACTTCTGCACGTGCCAAAGGCTCCAGGAAAGGAGCTTCCAGCCCAGCCAAGATCCCAGGGACATTCCCCTGCCCGCTCGCTGGCAGAGCCCAAACAACAGCTCGTTACTGGTCATACTGGTTACAGAAGTGAGAGGCAGGGGGTTGGCAGGCCCTGTGCCCCCTGGCCGTGGGGCTGGGGGGAGCAGAGGGCTGCCCTCACCTCCCTCACCTGTACTTGAGGGGGAACATGAGGGGCAGG